ATTCAAATCACACAACAAATTGAAGTGAGAAACTACCTCGCAATGTCCTTATTTGACAATCAGCAGTTAGCGGTTAGCGTTAGCGAATTATATTAGTGGATTTGACCAGCGAATTATATCAACGGTCAGTAAAAAGATATTTTAAAAAATTAGTTGTATAAATTAACATTTAAAATGACCTAAAGGTATAACAATAATAATAATAATAATAATAATAATAATAATAATAATAATAATAATAATAATAATAATAATTTTTTTAATAATAATTTTTAAAAAAAAAATATAAATGTGTTTTGGGGAAATCATTCTCAAAAACGTTAAGTGAAAATATTGTAAATTGCAATGTTTGTTTCAGTGGTTTGGAACAAATTGTTGCTTCAAATGGTTGAATAACCAAAACAATTTCTTTAATATTTTGATCTTTGGGTTACATCATATTTACCAATCATCCAATATCTTTGTGTTACATTATAATTAAAAATTTTAAATTTTTACTACATCTCAATTCCTTAAATTAAGAATTTCTTTATCCATAATAATTTATTCAACAATAATGGTTGAACTAAATGAACACTGAGCAAAACACTTAAAGGACTGGTACCGTTGATTCATTCATTGATCTTGTATATATGTGCATTCATTAAATATATTAGAACCCTTTGCAACAAAAATACGTGGTTACTATTTAAAAAAAGTTTAGTAACAATTATAATGAATATCCTATATTACATTGTATTCATATACTATGAATTACATATTTAAATAAACAAATTAGACATTAAATTACTTATGTTGAACTTCTCATATATAATCTTGCATTTATATACTTTCAAATATTTATTTAATTGTAAACATTGGGTAGAAAAAGTGACCGTCAAATTATTAAATCAAACGAATAGTTCAGATTGTTCAGATTTTAATTTTTCCTTGAGATTTCCTAATTTATCCTTAATTATATATATATGATTATTCGATCGGTTAACTTTTCCATTAAGCACTGTTAATTCACCATTAGTCTAATTCTAATATTAAAGTCTTAATAGAACTCTAACCACAAAAATCCTACTACCGGAATCTCCTCAAACAATATTAGTATATATTTAATATTTTATGCTTTAATTTTTATTTGCTCTCCCTTATGTCCCGTATATGGTTTCAACCATACCCATACAATTATTTTATTGACAATTATAATGAATCTTGACTATATTATCTTGCATTTGTAAACTTAGAATTACCAATTTAAATACGCAAATTCGACATTCAATTATCTATGCATGAACAATTCTAATATAATCTTGCCTTGATATACTTAAAATACTTATTTAAGAAAAAAAATTGGGCATTATTCCAATCGCGCAATGCGCGTAAAAAACTAGTTATAATAACAAATGAGAATCCGAGGCACCTGCAGCGGAGCAGGTACCTCGGATATTCTGTATTAAAAATTAAAAAAAAAAAAAAACATCCTCCGCTTTTCGAGTCACCCTTTACGGGTGACTCGGAAAGCGGAGGACTTTCACAGTCTCCAAGATCCGAGTCACCTATGTACAGGTGACTCGGAAAGTGTTTTATGGGAGGCTCTAAAAGCTTTTTTTGTACTAGTGATTTTTTCTTAGAAGTGATTTTTTTTTACAGGTGACTCTCCAAGATCTAGAGTTAAGTATGCCCCCACTCACATTATTTTCTGGGTCCGCCACTGACAACGTATATTGTCAAATTAAATTGTAGTATAATTAAAATTATACTTTAATATTGGTATAATGAAATTAGTGTGTGTGGAAAATGAAACTAAAATTCATATAATAACATATATTGTCAAATGAACATGGAGTATAATTAAAATAATACTTTAAAATTACTATAATTAAACTAGTGTGTGTAAAATGAAACTACAAAATAGAACTCATGCAATAATGTATATTGTCAAATAAAAATGTAGTAGAATTAAAATGATACTTTAGTATTGCTATAATGAAACTAGTGTGTGTAAAAAAATGAAATTAAAAACAGTACAATATTATCAAATGAAACTGAAATGTAATTAAATTGATACGTATTTTATGAACCACACGACTACATAGACCATGATCCACAGTAAAATTTGCTTTTAACTAGGCAGCCAACAAGTTGTGTAAAGCAACTTTTTTTTTGGGCGGTTTGTGGGACTGCGGAAGTTGTGCTACGTTACCTCTGCACAAACCTAACATACCCAACAAAGAAATTTTTTTCTAACTCTTCATCATCCAATACATACATAATAATCATCATCATCTGATCTATTCAATCAACATCAACAACTAGCCACCCTCCACCTTCTCTCCTTCCATAATAACAATTTTATTATTATATTGTAAAGTTACTTTCAATTTTCAGCTTTGTTTACTTTAAATTTTTTTCTTTGTTTTTCTTTTTACAATTTTTCATCTTGTGTTTTTCATTCTCTATTTTCTATTTTGTTTAAATATATAAGGAAATGTATATTCTATTGTCTTTTATCTCATTTCTTCAAACATTTTTTTAGAATTTTCAGTTAATTGTCCTATTTATTATTCATTGGTTGAAGTACATAAAAAAATTTTTCTTAACTTATTCTGTGTAAGAAATTCTTATTATTTTTAAATTTAAAATTTTTTATTTAATTTAATAGAATTTTATTCATTAATAGTCAATTAAATATTATAAAAATTAAATTGTAAATGATTTGAGTCAAATCCCATTTATGAACCGGCATAGGTTGGGGCGGGAGCTAAGGAATATATTTGTTGAACATTCATCTACAGTAATAATTATGATATGATTGAGTTGTAATCATCAATGTATTGAAAATTAATATTATTAGTTATATATTCGTGTGTATTTTATTATACTAGTCACTTAAGGGTGTATTCAATAAAAACTTTATAAATTTTAAAACTTTGGATAGTATTTGATTCAGACTTTATAAATTTGATTCAGAAGGTATTAAATTCTAATTTTAAGGAATCAAATTGGATAGTATTTGATTCAGACTTTTTAACATCACAAATAAAAGGAAAAGTTGACCTGCATATATCTTGTGGGAATGTCTTGAAGGTTCAACAAAAGGTCGTTGTACGTACTCACATGCATAAAGATAAAGAAAGTTCAGATTTATGTTTCATAACATATCTATCAATTCAAATAAGTGAAGGATGACTCAACATCAAGTGTTGAGACAACTTGTTGAAAATGAAAATCGCACAAGTACTACATACCCCGTACCTGATGACCATTGAATCTTTACATAGCTAGGGCCGGTTTTAGATTTTTGTGATCCCATTCTTGTAAATAAATGAGCTCCTACTAAAAATGCAATCTGTAAAACCAATACCGTAATAATAATAATAATAATAATAATAATAATAATAATAAGGTGGTAGTAAAATGTTTTTGTGCGCAAAGAGAAAAATAAATGACATATTATGGAATAAATTACAATTATAACAATATAATAACTATAATAACAATAATAATAACAACAAGAGTAAATTTCATTTTTGGTCCTACTATTATAAGGGTCATTCCAATTTTAGTCCACTATTATTTGCCTTGCCACATTGCGACCACTGTTATTATAAGTGTTCTACTTTTGGTCCACTGTTAAGATTTCCATCTCCAAGCCGTGTAATCCAAGGACTTTTTGGTCTTTTCATGTTTGTATTTTCTCCTTTACCTTTTCTTCATATTCAAGACTATGTTTGACTAAAAGCAAATGCAACCAGACCAAAATTTTATACACGAAGAAAAAATGTTAGACGAAGAAGTTTATGTTGAATAATGCTTTGTTTGTTTCTTTCTTTCTTTCTGCAATTCTAGGAATAATGCTAGAAGTTTACAATTTACATACACAATTTACATACTAAGTGTTCATAATTTAAATTGTGAACATTCAATTTATAAATTGTGTATTTTAGACTTGAATACACCTTACAAGGTGGACCGGGTCCAAGGTATAAATGTTGCACTATGTGAACTATGGTCCATTGTATAACAACTGAGCACAAACAGGTTGGGCTTGTTTGTTATTGGCTGAACCGTTCCTATTGTCAACTTAGTCCAAGATATTAGGCCTTCTACTAGTGACAAATTATTATGTGGATCTGGGCCCACTTTACAAGGTAGACTTGTATCTGAAAATACACAATTTATATACTGAATATTCACAATTTACATACTGAATGTTTACAATTTTTATATACTAAATGTTTACAATTTTATATACTAAATGTTCACAATGTTCATAGTATGTAAATTGTGAACTTTCAGTATATAAATTGAAATTAATACCCAATATAGATTTCGACTATAGTGATTTTACTCAATTTAGTCATCGATTTTGGTTTTATACAATTTAGTCAATTTGTTAAAAATTTTGTTAGTTAACTGTTAGAAATATGGTCCTAATGATAATTTCTTATCCTTCATCCCATTTGGGATTATTTATTCTTTTTCCCATTATTAAGATCCAAGCAGAAATGCAAATCTTCGTACTCAAATTTAACTAAAAAAGTTACTCCGTATTAAAAAAGCGTAGGCAAATACTTATTTATTTAAGGTTGAAAGTTATTTGGGGATGAAGATCTCTATTTCTGCGTGGAGCTTAATAATGGGAAGAAGAAGGAATCATCTCAAATTGAATAAGGGTAATATATTATCATTAGGATCCTATTTCTAACATCCAACTAACAGAATTTTTAACAAACGGACTATCATCAAAGTTGAGGACTAAATTGAGCACAAAAAGTCATTTAAAACTAAATTAAGTAAAATAACTATAATCAAAAATTATATTGAGTATTAACTTATATAAATTGTGTATTTTATCATAGATATACCTTGCAATGTGGACCGGATCCCTGGCATAACTATCCTCTAACTCTCTAAGGACAGGTCAATGGGTCATACTGTTTTTTCACAAAGGGCCCAAAAGCTCTATAGGGCATTAAACATTCCAAGTCCATTTTAACATAAATAAACGGAATAAACCTCGGCGTTTCCGGGAAATCAAGTCTCAGGGTTTTGGCCGCCGGTACAATGGGGAAGATATCATACATGAAGCTCAAGGGGAGCCAGAGCCTGAGGCTAAGGCTGCTGCTCTCCACCCTCTCGTCGACTCCAATACTCATCGAGGACATACGCGCCGACGCCACATGGCCCGGCCTACGCCCCCACGAAGTCTCCTTCCTCCGCCTCCTCGAGAAACTCTTCGACGACTGCGTCGTTGAAATAAACGAAACTGGTAATTTATTATGCACGGTCAGATTAATTCTTTTCGGGTTAGGGTTTAGGATACCTTTCGCGGATGTTAGTTTGTTGCTGAAAATCCACTTTTTTTTTTTGTTGAGCAGGCACGAAGTTGAAGTACAGGCCGGGAATAGTGATGGGTGGGAAACATTTAGCTCATGATTGTGGCGTCAATCGCGCTATTGGGTATTTCATTGAGCCTCTCATCGTGCTTGGCTTGTTCGGGAAGAAGCCTCTTAGTATTAGGCTGAAAGGTATTGTTTGCTTTTGATCTTTTTTCTGGGATTTTGTTTTCTGCTTCGTTTTTATGTTAATTGTCTGCTCGTCTTTGATTAGTCACACTCTTGTGATGGTATTATGATATACCTTTAAAAGTAAAAATAAAAATAGAAGAAATTTGAGAAGTTGAAACTATTACTCTGTACATGATACCACTTTAGCCTTTTCTATATATTTTTTGCACTGTGAAGAAATAAACTTAGTAACCTTGATAGTTATGGCTTATGGTTTTGGCTTATATTTGCCTTAAGCTAAGTAGGCATTTGGACTAAGCCACTCTTGTCTAGATGCTATGGAGTTTTCCTAGGCTAGGGATCATGCCATGAATTAACATTGATCAAAGAAGATGCTACTCAATGCCAATCCTACACTATTCGGTATAAACCTGTTCAGTTAGTTTTACCTTTTGGTCCCAATACTTTCCGGGTAAGACTTGGTCAAACAATCAGGTTCAAGGATGATATTGTTGTCCCCACGTCCTTTTAACCAAGAAAAAGCTTCTCTGACCGCAATAGCCTCCGCAAGGTAATTCAGGAGGCCGGCATTCTGTCTGAACTGGTGTTGGGAGGGATACCTGACCACTTAGCTAAAATATCCCGAACAGAGGTGGTCGATGGGTCGGGGGAAGTTTTACAACCCCAACCCGATTTTAAATACCCCGCATTAATCTCACCACGGGTTATCCAACTTTCTACATGCATGAAGTCAGCCTTACACGTGTTTAAGCTTTCTTCAGTTGTCGTTATGCTTCAGCAAAGTTTGTGCAATTCATGCTAACAAGATGTGATTTTTGAGCTAAAATTTACCACCACTCATATTATTGAAGGACTAATAATGCATTATTGCCTCAGTGTTTTCAATCGCTTAGTATTGTGAATATGCCTTCTCGATTGGGAAACAATTAAAAAGGGAATTCTATTTGTCCTCTCATTTTAGGCTAGTAGTAATGTTTGTCTAGCTATGTCTTGAGTTGGACTGATTTAATTTATGTTGAGTTGCTCAGTTTTAAGATGTTACAGAAATTTCCTGATGCAGTCTTTTAGGCACTCAGTGAAGAATAATGTTAAAATTAATATCAGAATTTTGCTGTAGTTTCACATGTTTCTTCTAGATAAGCTTGGCATGCTCTAAATTCTAAATTATGTGTCCTACAGAATTTAGTAGTCCACGGAATTTTTCTGGCTTGTCCTGATGTAATAAATTCCTTCAGTTTTTATATCTACTTGTAGTACTCAGTCTTGTAAGACTTTGAGCTTTGATTAGTTAGGAGGTTGTTGGTCAACAAGGATTTAGAAGTTTCTTAAATCATAACAGCCTGAGTTCTATGCATTTTGTCAACCAATCATTTCTTCTAGGTGCAATTTTTTCTGGTTAATGGATGGATTCCATTAACTTCTTCTAGGTGCAATTCCTAGAATGCTTTGACAAGATTTTGAGGTGATTGTTCTTAACTGTAAAGAGCGAGATATATTCAGAAACTGTGATTCTGCAAGCAGTAATTAATAGGCTCATATTTTGAAATTTTTTATTCTGTTTTTGCTTCCATAAATGCATAACTTATTGTCAGGTACCAATTTGGTTATAATATCTGCATTTTTTAAATGAGCATCATATTTGAGTTTTCTTTTTCATTTATAATTTGATATTTGAATGAAATCTTGCTGTTTCAGGGATTACTAATGACCCAAAAGACCCGTCTATTGATACCTTTAGATCAACCACCTTGCCTATTTTGAAGCTGTTTGGAGTTCCCTCAGAAGGACTGGATTTGAAAATTGAGAACAGGGGAGTTGCTCCCAATGGCGGTGGAGAAGTAATTTTGTCAGTCCCCATTGTCCAGGATAGTTTAAGAGTGAGTCTGTCTTGTTCGTTTGCTGCATTTTCTTTTCTCCTGTTTTTGAGAACAGTGAAGGGTGAATTTACTCTCGTGCACTGTTAGAAGGTTGTTAGAGGAGTTCTCCTAGCTAGTCATTTGAAATTCGAAATAAGTGGTTGGGGTTTCCTATTAGCTTGTATATAAGTGTAGGTTTCCCTGTACTCAATTTATTCACTGTATTTTTCTCTATCTCAATATACACTTCACTATTTTGAGTTCAACATGCACGAATTCACTATTTATCTTACCTCTTAAATATTGCTTTCAGGCAGTTAGCTGGACTGACGTGGGATTGGTGAAGAGGATTAGAGGTGTTTCCTTTTCTACCAGAGTGTCTGCGCAGTTTGAGAATACCATGATACATGCAGCTCGTGGCATCTTGAATCCACTACTTGCTGATGTCCATATATTTACCGACCATAAAGCTGGTGTACAAGCAGGAAAGTATGTTCATCTTCTCTACATATTGAACTTTTAAAAATTAGAAAGATTTAGGGGGCGTTTGGTTTGAACATGGGAATTGGAATCAAATACTTGATAATTGGAATGAGTTTTGGTAAAGGTATATTTGATTATTTGTATGTTTGGTAGTAGGCTGGAATTGGAATCATTACCAATATTGTTGTTTGGATATAGATAACCCTATAATCGGAATAAGGGTTAAAAAAAACAAAAAATAAAGGCAATTGATCCTGATTTGCTGACATCCAAAACACAAAAAATCCAAAGCACTAAACACAAGGAGTTAGCACACAAGAAGTGAGGAGGGGATAAGACTGAATAATGGGAATGATACCTTCATTTAATTAGGTAATGGGTTTTTTTAATTAATGAGGTATTCAAATCCTATACCTGTGTTGTTTGAAATTGTCAACCAAACAGTATGTATGACTTTTATTTTCATTCCTTGTTTCTAAACCCATGAACCAAATATACCCTTAATGCCTTCTCTGGTCTCAATTTTTGGCTTGAAATACCCTTTTTGATCTCATCCAAGAGATTTGATCTTAATTGCAGGTCTCCTGGCTATGGGATTTCTCTTGTTGCAGAAACTACTACTGGCTGCTTCATCTCAGCTGACACTGCTGTTTCTTATGCAAGACAAGAAGAAGATGCTGAGATTGGGGATGAAGATAGCATCGAGTTAACCCCTCCTGTAGATGTTGGTGAGCAAATTGCTTCCGCACTTCTCGCGGAGATTGAACAGGGAGGTGTCGTAGATTCAACACACCAGGTATTGCTCTAATGACATCTCTTGTATTATTCGTTTGATATTCTGTTGACATCCCACTTAGGGATGGCAATTTCAATATGCCTCGCGGATATCCAGTCAAATTCACTTCCCATGGATCGGGTTTTTTTTTGGGTGATATTGGGTGGTGGATCGAGGGGTGGGTCCTAAAAAATTAAACCCGTAGTGGGTTGGGTTGGATTCGGGTCTTATGTATAAAACCCACCTAGAACTCCACCCGACCCACCGCATGTGTGTGTGTGTGTATATATATATATATATCAAATAGTAAAATAAGTACAATTGTACAAGTATGTAGTTAGTTATGAAAGTTTTTATTAGCTTTTTACTATTTTTAGTTCTAAACTAATAAATTTATTTTAACAAATTAATTATTTAGTTATTATATTTGAATATTTCTATTCTTTTAAATAAAAATAATACGGAGTAATAAGATAATAAATGGTGGGTCCTCATAGTGGGCACCCGCACCCGTTGGGTTTGCAGCTGGGTTTTAAAAAAGTTCACCCGATGCAGGTTAGGGGTGGGGGTGGGGGTGGGGGTGGGGGTGGGGGTAGGGGTAGGTGGAGAAAGTATAATGTAGGTTAGGTGGTGGATGTAGCCCTTCCCGATGCACTCCCGACCCATTGTCATCCCTAATCCCACTTAAATCGTATTTTGTGAGTTTGGCTAAGCAATGATACCTCTGTTCAGAATGTCAGTCTAGATTGCTAGATTTAAGAGCAAAGATATAACTTGGTTCTTAACATATTCTCCTCCCTATTGGATTGCTTAGTAGTACAAAACCCCATATATAGTGTAAGATCAAGCTTTCAAATCAATTGCCTTTCTCGACCACCATGCATGGTGGTCGGAGATGAATGCTTGCCACTAAATAGTATTTGCCAAATTACTTCGGTTTTAAGTTTTACATGAGCCCCTTTTGTTTTATGTTTGTGCTCTCATGTCAAGAACATAAGCCAACCGTATTTTTTGCCTCACAGGGTCTATTGTTTCTTCTGTGTGCCTTGTGTCCACAAGATGTCTCTAAAGTTGAGGTCGGTAAGCTCTCACCCTATGCAATAGAGACTTTAAGGCACATCAGAGATTTCTTGGGAGTTAAATTCGTCATCAACCCAGAACCCTCGTCGGGGACTGTCATACTTAAGTGCGTTGGATCTGGATTGAAGAACATGTCGAGGAAGTTATCATGATGACCAACGGGGCGGAATGTATACTACTGAAGAAGGCCATGGCAAGAACATGGTTGTGTAATTTGTTACAAATTTTGTAGTATCTAGCTAGAGACCCCTTACCTTCCTTATAAGGGGTGGTGAGATCTTAGTTTTAAAGTTGTGCGCTTATAATTTCTTCAAATTATTATTTGCCCTCGTGTTTGAGTTGAATGTCGCAAAATCATCGTGGGTTTTTTTTGTTCGTTTTGTTTATTTTATCAAGTTGTAATTTCCGTTCCCAATTTGAGTATTAACGACGACCGGTAACTTTGGCATAAAAACAAGAAATGATAGAAAAATGATTGAGCCTCACTAGCAACGGGGCAATTTATATCGTGCACCAGGCGCGCATTGCATTGTGTGCCTTGATGCAAAACGACGTCGTTTCAATTTTTTTTTTTTTTTTTTTGAAATTTCGCTGCCCTGTGTTGGTTAATTTTTTTTATAAAAAAATCTCATGTTCAAAAATGTACATAATTTTATACTAGAATTTATATAGTTATATACATGAATGTACATAATTGTATAATAAAATACATATTGTTTTTTAATATCTTGATTCGGATGTACATAATTGTATAAAAAAACATGTACATAATTGTATAAAAAATACACATAATCACGTCAACTACCTACATAACTTACCAAAATGACATCGTTTTGGGAGGTGCGGGACACACAGTGCTATGTGCGCCGTGGTGCAAGATATAACGATTGTAGTAACGGTGTGGTGGGAGCTACCTCTCATCTGATGCGGGGTGTGCACAAATGAGAGGAGCTCTTTGTATGCAGTAAGTAAAAGTTTAGTCTTTATTGGCTAGTTGAATTATCATGATTTATTCTTTCACAAATTGTCCAGTTAGGGTGTGGGGCGCTTGGAATGGATGATTTTACTTTTTGTCACGAGCAATTAGAGACAACATAGAAATGGCAATATAGGTATGCATTTAAATTCCCTTAAGTATTTATAAATATTATCCATTAAATTTCATGATTAAGTTATATATACTAAAAGGCATATAGGAATCCAATTATGAAATAAAAACTCAATTAAATCCAGGAAACGTACAGAAGCTAAATGGTAAACAAAACAAAAAAGCTGATAACAGAACAAATTGTCAAATACACTCCTGCAGCATACTACTAAACTCACCATTGCTTCCTAGTTCATCAAATTCTATAGCTGTTAGCAAGAACAAATGGCAACAAGCTCCCATTTCCATGCTTACTTTGCTCGACTTAGAAGGATGAAAAGTAACGCTAATTATGATTGTGCCAATAAGTAAACCCCTAATAAAAACACAATAAAGCAGTGTTCGCTCAAGGGGCAGCAGCAAAACTACAAAAGAAAATAATAGGCAAACCATATAATCAATCGTGAAAAGATTTGAAACCCTTACAGGAAAATGCAATAAGACATTAATGCGGGCAAAAATTGTATTTGTATAGCTAGTGTATAAGGAGGACTTACAGTGTACTTACTATCTTTTCCTGTTAAAGTTTGCAATACACTGATACCAATTCCACTGGAAGCATAGAGCTGCAATGCGCAACAACCCTGCACCAATCACCTCCACAAATGCCATTAGGAATGATCTTTGAGGAGAAAGACCAGCGGTTGCTATAGACAGTAAGAATCCCTCAAAGTTACAGGGGACTACAAAACTTCCAGATTTGATCCCATCCACAGATTTCTGGGCAACTTCTTCAGCTTTCATCGAACCAGAAGATGCCGCTAATATACTGGTAAGCTCTGGCCTCCTTTTGTTCTCTGAAGGATGATAAAGAGTATCACAGAAAAGTTGGTTTTGACACAAAAAAAAAACTTTCAAGTATCAAAATGACTGCATCGTCTGTCTTAAGGATACCAATTTAGATAAGATGATAATATAAGAGCTCAGGAAGTTGAATAAACGCTATGGCATGCACAAGAAGTGAATAAAGCATTCCTACAGGTAAAAAATTCACACGTACATTTCCACACAACGTGTTTTACAGTGCTTTATGATATAGGAACACACAATGTGCTGAATAAATCATGCAGCTCATAAATAAAGTAGAAATGGACCTTCAGCAAAACCAGGAGTTTCAGTATCTGGGGGGAATATAAGGGACACATGAATATCATCACCAATAATCTCCTGCTGCAGTGCCTCTGCCATACCCCTGAGACCAAACTTGCTAGCTGAATAAGCTGTATAACCATAAATCCCAACCTATCCACAGAAGAGAATTTTACCCACTTAAAAATAAATCACAGAGAACATGAAAACCAAAAAATGATAAGAATCAAGAGTGAATCAGAATGAAAGAGTAAAGTTGTTAGTCAACCAGACTCTGTGCCTAATATAAAACTGGATTAATGGGGTACAGGTTTATGAATTAGATAACACATTCAGTTACTGTACTCAGACTTCTCAGTAGACACCAATACACCATCTAGGGTTCTGAGTCTAGTCTGAGGCAAAACATGGCTAACGGGTCTACCGTTAAGAGGCAACACAATAGGAACACCCACTATGGTTGGAGATCAACACGGCTATCGCTTCCGCTCATACAAGGTTCCTACTATTGTCTCATATTCTCTTGCTAGATTATTGGAAATTATGGAAGCTGGAATTGTGAGACCTAGTCAGTTTTGTTACCAAAATCCCCTAATACAAATCAGTTGCAGACCAAAATTCATGTTATTTTATACTCATCATATCAGTTAAGTTCATATGCTATAGTTGGAGTTCAGAAAACAGCTTTGACTCAAGACTGAACCCAAAGAAATTGTCTAAACCACACTTTCATAGTCAGTAAAAAGCCTAATCGGAGCTAGAGGTAGATGCCTATACCTGACCCGCTTGAGAAGACATTATAGCAATTGAACCGGGTCCCCTCTCTGCTCGGTTCTTCATCCCCGGCAACGCCGCTTTGATCAAATGGAAAGTTCCGATCAAGTTCACATCAATCATCAACTTAACCTCCTCCAGCTCCTGCGTATCCAATTCCTGGGGAATGAACACTCCATGGTTGCAGATCAGAACATCAATCGGTCCGGCTTCCTCCACGGCCTTCTTCACGGCTTCGTAGTCCCTCACGTCGGCGCTGAAAGCTGCGACTTCGCAGCCGGTGGCGAGCCGGATCTCCCGCTTGGCGTCCTCGAGCTTGCTGGTTTTCCGAGCGAGGATGGATACCTGCCTGGCGCCTTCCGAAGCGGCTCGGTGAGCCAGAGCCAAGCCGATGCCACTGGAGCCGCCGGTGATGAACACATGGCGGTTTTTGATTGGGATTCTGACGGGGCGTGGACGGACAATGAGAAATAGGAAGAGGAGGAGGAGAGAGAAAGGGATGACGGTAAGAAGGATAGGTAAAACCACACTCCACTCCGCCATTGATGAATACTTGTAGATCCTGTAACTAACAAGTGGACGTTAACGACTACTCCGACTAACCTAGGAAATCAATAACCTTGCGCGTAGAGATCTACGCCATTTTTTTTTTTTTTTTTTTGATTTAATTACCAAAATGGTCCTTTGACTATACTAAAATTATTAATTTAGTTCTTGATAATTTTTTTTGACCAATTAAGTCCTCAATTTTAAAAATCTTAATCAATTTGGTCCTCCGTTAGTTTTGTCGGTTAACTTTTGTTAACTTAGGACCAAATTGATAAACTTTCTATAGTCAAGAGACCATTTCAATAATTAACTTTAGGTGTGAATAATTCAGTTTGATTTTTTTGAATTAAACCGTACCGACCATTAAAGTAGTTAATCGTACCGAACGATTCGGTTAAAAACTGATTGGAAATACCGTTTGATTTTATTTTAAATATAATAATAATAATAAAAATAAAGGAAGTACGGTTCGGTTGAATGGTAAAGGAGACATCAAGAGATTTGAATTTACTTCTTTATTACTACTATTATTATTATTATTATTATTATTATTATTATTATTATTATTATTATTATTATTATTATTATTATTATTATTATATTTTAAATAAAATCAAACGATATTTCCTTTCGGTTTTAACCAAATTGTTTGGTACGGTTAATTACTTCAAAGTTTGGTATGATTCGGTTTGAGAAAATCGAACCGAATTGTCACCGTTAAAGTTAATTATTGAAATGGTCCCTTAACTATAGTAAAATTATCAATTTGAGGACTAAATTGATTAAAATTTTTAAAATTGAGAATTTAATTGGTCAAAAAAATAATCAATGATTAAATTAGTAATTTCACTATAATCAATGGACCATTTTGATAATTAACTCTTTTTTTTAATTTTTCTCCTGTGATAGTGTGATTGGATTGTATGCCCTGGACTTCATTGAGTATTCCACCAATCAATTTGAAACATCTCATTAAAAACAAAGAGAAAAAAAATATTTTAACTAAAATGAATATTAAATATAGTGAGAAAATAAAGTTTTCAAATTTAAAATTAGTTATAGTTCAGTAAGATAGATGATCTAGCAGAGTTAATTCCACGAAGAGGTTCTTTGTTTTTGTGACAATTCTAAATTTAGTTTCAGATTATCATTTTTGTCATTTAACATTTTAGACTATTATTTATTGGACACTTTTAGTCCTTCTCATGACTTTTCCTATTTTTAGAAAGAACATTTTTGTCTCTTCATATTTTTTTTTTGTTATTTTTTCGATTTCAGTCGGTTTAATTGGTTCAGGACTTTACTAAAAACCATTTGAAAAATATGATAACTAAAAATCAAAGGTTACATAAAGTTCTAAATCAATTAAACAGGTTGAAACTAGAAAAATAACAAAAGAAAAATAAGCAAAGATAAAAATGCCCTTACTAAAAATAAGAAATGTCATGATATGGACTAAAAATGTCCAAAAAATAATAATCTAGGATGTTAAATGACAAAAACAATAGTCTAAATTTGGAATTGTCACCAAAGATAAGAGATAGTATTAATTGACTCATTTAGCTTATCATATTAGCTATTTGTATAGTATTAATTGATTATATGAGGAATGTTTGATCAATTAATTATCTAATCTTAGCTGACCTTATAAAGACATAAATAAATTGTGTTATTTATTTAACTTTTAAATTAATTTTACAATTTTTTGTTATTATTAATTATTTTTAATTACTATTTTTTGTTTTACTATTAATAATCCTCTATTATAATAAAGCTAGACATTTTTTTTAGAAGAAAAATGAAGGACTGTATTAATTAAGATCCGAAATTAGTACATCAGAAATAAAGGGAAAAAGGGACATGAAAACTCTTCGAACAGTCAGACTTGGATAAGGCTTCTCTAGCAAGTAGGTGGGCTACCTTATTCGCGGACCGTTTAGCAAACAAAAAGCTAACATTAGTAAAAGTATTAGCTATTTCCCTAATATCATGAAGAATGAGATCGAATGAAGAGATTAAGCCATGATGATGAATATTCTTGGCAACTTGCAGGCAGTCTGTTTCCACTTGGATGTTATCATACTGAAGCGTCTTCATCCACTTTAGCGCTTCTCGAACACTAATGGCTTAAGCTTCGTTGGGCTTATAGAGGCAGAAGACAGGGAGGATCCTGGCTGCAACAAAGGTACCCAGGGAGTCACGTAGCACAAAGCCTAGGCGAACATTTCTATTAGTCTGATTCGTAGTCGCGTCAACTTTCATCTTGAGAAACCCTAATGGCGGTTTTATCCATGGTACAGAAGCCAAACTGCTCGATGAATTTCAATGGAGGTGAAAGTAGCAGCTCTCCATTCCTATAAAAAGATTGAGGCACTTTGGCAGATAGTAGAGGCAGATAGAATAGTTTGATTCCAGATCTTTTCATTACGGGCCTCCCATAATTTTCTGCATATTGCAATAATAGTACATAGCTCTGTATCAGTCTTCATAGCAAAGTAGAATTTCTAACCAATCAAGAAAGCAATTACCAATGAAGTTGTCCATGCCATCAGTCTTAGTTCGAAAAGGCTTGATTCAAGCCTCAAGTTACAGAAATAATTTACAAAAAGTTGCTTTATGTCATTTTTGAATGCCATAATGGAGCTATTTACTCCTTCAACCCTATATAAGAAAGAGTTGGGCAGCAGATTTTTTACACAAGAAAACCATATCATTTTCAGCCTCAAAACTCTCTGCTTTTACTCCTTTCTTAGCCTAATTGTGTTCATCCCATTGCTCTAGTTCGCCGGATTCCTTGTTTGGGTGCTCAAACATTGAATCGTAGCACATTTTATCCTGGGAAACCTAGGCTACAATGTTCCTAGCACTTGTGGGAGGTAGCAAATAAGGTTTTAAGGAAAGAGTGATTCACTCGACTTGTGCTAACCACCTACACCAATCCGAACCATATTCCTTCACCCTTTCCTTCCCAATTTTCTGTAAAATAATAATCCTTATTTTGTAGGATTATTATTGGATTTTATCAACGAGATATCCAACGATCTTAAAACCTTATACCTCGTTTCCCCATTGGTTTTTGTCTCCTAAATTCCTTGAAGAAATGGAGGAAAATGTTGTTGCGGACAACAATGGTGAGAACGGAAACAATGTTGCGAATTCCTAGGCACCACTAGTGAACGTAGGTTCACAAGATGGTGGGAGCACCGAGGGATACATTCCCATGACTCGGGTACCTTTGGTACCGAGCGGAACGGCTAAAAAGCCGTAGAAGTTCACCGGTGTCGGATCGAACTTCAAGAGGTGGCAACAAAAGATGTTGTTCTACCTACAAACTCTCAGCTTTGCAAGGTTCTTGACCGAGAAGGTTCCTGAGTTGAAGGAACAAGATGCTCAATCCATGATGGCGGTTGGCTATTGGAAGTATTCGGACTTCCTTTGCCGAAACTACATCCTAAACGAAAGATAAGCACATCAAAAGCGTTGTGGGAAGACTTGGATCACAAGTATAGAAGTGAGGATGCCAGCGCAAAGAAATTTGTGGTTGGCCAATTCCTCGACTTCAAAATGGTTGATTCCAAGACCGTGCTAAGTCAGGTAGAAGATTTGCAATTAATCTTCGACGAGATCCGTGACGAGGGTATGGTACTGAGTAAAGCCTTCCAAGTTGGACCCGTGATCCACTTGTTGCCTCCAGGTTGGAAGGACTTCAAGAACTACCTTAAGCATAAGCAAAAGGAGATGAACCTGGAGGACATGATCCAGCGACTCAGAATTGAGGAATGGAACATGACGAATGATAGGAGAGTTATTGTCATTGATGGCGCTAAGGCCAACGTTGTGGAGCATGGTAAAAGCTCCAAGAGGAATAAGAAGGACAAGCGAAAGCTAGGTCCGAAAGGAGGCATTACCAAGAACAAGTTTCCTGGTACATGCTACAATTGTGGCAAGCCTGGCCACAAGGCATCTGAAGGTAAGGATCCAAGGAAGAAGAACAAGAGTTCTGAAGCTAACATTGTTGGAGAAAGCAGTCAGAAGGAGGTCGAGATTAGCCTTTCGGCTATGGTGACCAAGGTGAACCTCGTGGGCTCTAATCCACGTGAGTGGTTCATCGATATCGGTGCAACCAGGTATTTGTGTTGCAACCGAGAGATGTTCAACACCTTTGAGACCATTGAGGGTGAAAAGGTGTGGATGGGAAACTTTGCTTAGTCTGCTGTGGAAGACATGGGCAAGATGGTTTTGAAGATGACTTCTGGGAATGAACTGACGTTGAACAACGTGCTGTATGTTCCAGAGCTGAGGAAGAATCTTGTGTCTGCCTCGCTGCTGAACAAGCATGGGTTTCGCATGGTGTTCGAGTCAGACAAAGTAGTTTTGTCTAAGTTGGGATGTTTGTTGGTAAATGATATGTAACTGATGGGCTTTTTAAGCTCAGTGTAATTCTTGTTATCAATAAAAGCAAAGTTAATTCTGTTTACTTGCTTGAGTCTTCCAATTTGTGGCATGGTAAACTAGGTAATGTTAATTTTAATTCTATACGTAGATTAATTAGCATGCACCATATTCTTAACTTTCAAATTTACACAAATAACAAGTATGAAATTTTTGTTGAGGCAAAACTAATGAAAGTACCTTTCAAATCGATTGAAAGGGAAACTGAACCACTAGAATTAATCCATAGTGATTTGTGTGATTTTAGATCGATACAAACGAGAGGTGGTAATAAGTATTTTATCACGTTTATCGACGATAGCACACAATACTGCTATGTGTATTTGCTTAAGAGCAAAGATGAAGCCGTTGATAAATTCGTTCTTTATAAGAATGAAGTGGAAAACCAACTTAATCAGAGAATTAAGAAGGTTAGAAGCGATCGAGGTGGTGAGTACGAAAAACCAATTGATGACTTCTGTGCAAGTGTAGGTATCATACACGAGCGTACGACACCTTACGCACCTCAATCGAACGGTATTGCCGAACGAAAGAATCGTACATTGAAAGATATGATGAATGCCATGCTTATAAATTCGGGCCTACCTCAAGGTATGTGGGGTGAGGCGATTTTGAAAAGTAATTACCTTTTAAATAAGGTACCCCACAAGAAGCTCGA